CTCTCTCTCTCTCTCTCTGCATGGGACCAACTTTGAATTGTGTATTTACAAACAGTAACTGACGATTCCTACTCATTCCGCCTTGAAAGAATAACTCAATCTGATGAACCACTTCACTCAAATGTGGTTTTCTTTTTTTTTGGGTGATGTCAAAATATGGCACAAACATTTGCTGAAGACATGCTACTGTTTTGCAACGAACTATAAAAGAAGCTAATCGATAGCAGCCGAGGTCTGCAGAAAACCTGTGTGTTTGAACGCCTCCGTGCTGGTATCAGGTCATGGATTGTTATTCAGATATGACAGGAATGCAGAATCGCTTGAGGTAATTGTTAATATTAATAACCTTCCCAGCGTGAAATGTCCTTTACTACCTCACTGCTGTGACTCCCTGCCTTTATTGCAGAGCAGTACCATTCAGGTTATTATGCCGTGTTTTGATTTGGTGTATTATGTCTCTGCTTCTCTGTAACATATTTGTCCCAGACAGTCTTCTCAGTAACTCAGAAGGATGCAGAGAAAGAGGAGTAGACATCCCTCTACAGTGCTACCCACTGTGTGCAATTGATTCCTCTATTACATGCTTGCTGTAAGTATAGTGTGCAGTCTGGGCACTCACAGTAATAAGACCACACAGGCCCTCAGACAACACTCACCAGCAGTGCCCCCCGGATTACGCAATTCTACTGCAGTGCTGATCCTTATGAGCTAGTTTAGACCCAAGGACGATACAGTAGAGGTGAAGATGATGTGGAGTGTGTGTGTGTGTGTGAGAGAGACACAGTGGACAGGATAGGGCAACTCAGAGGGTGAGAAGGAGAGAGGGCTGGATGAAATTGATCCCTGTGTGTTTTGTAATGTGAGATAATGATTCTTTTTCAGCCTTGGAGGGATATAAAGAAGCTAGACATGGGTGAGGAAAATTTAAAGAGCAAAGAGAGGAGGAAAAATGGTTTCTTTGATCTCTACCTGGATATATAAATTTCAGTTTTTACCAGAGAATCTGCATATTTATAGGGCTAGGAAAAGATTTAAGCCTGCTATGCTTGAGTTGCAGAAATTAATCCACTTAATGCATTCATTAATCTATTCCTTTACAGCGGGGATGCTCTGCCACTCTATAAATATAGTCCTTCCTCTCCTCTGGTTCAGTACAAAGACTAAAAGTTGATGAGGTATAAAATGAGGGCGTAACTAGCACTGCCGAGACTTGTCTTCTCATAAACGTGCAGGCTGTGACGCAGTGTGATTGAACTGTTTCCAATACTGTGGATGTCTCTTACAGTTTCTTCATGGAGAACCAGTACCCAGATGAAGCGAAGCGAGAGGAGATTGCCAACGCCTGTAACTCAGTCATTCAGAAACCAGGTACTGTAACTGTACCGAGGCCTGTTCCTGTCACAAATCTGACACCCTATTTAATTAATTGATAAGTCCATTGACAGGTAATTAATGTATGGCTATTTTAATAATCATTTTTAGTCACGATCAAGTAAAAATACAAAACATTTGTTGTTTCCAGCTTTCTAAATGTAAAGATTTCCTACTTGTCTTTGCTTCATATCACTAAAAACTGTATGTTATGCCTTTGGGCTAAAAGATCAGTCAAAAAGTAAATGATGGATTAATTGACAATGAGAATAATTAGTCTCAGCCTTGATATGAATATTATTTTTTTTTAAATAGATTTTTATCCACCTCATGTTTAGCATGTAGCACACTGAAACACATATTAATGTGTCACCTAGAGTTTATAGGAGTTTTAATGATTGCATTTTGTAATTGGTGTATTGTTTTGTGTAAAATCAAATCTCTTATTTAAATGATGTACGATGTTTTCATCTGGTCATACAGGATAGTTGAGGATCCTATCTCCACTGAGTGAACATGTGGTTTCGCCAAACTCTGTGCCACTGTAAATAAGTGATGTGCGTTTCATCACTCAGGTTGTAAGCTATCCGAGTTTGAGCGTGTGACGGCATTGAAGGTGTACAACTGGTTTGCCAACCGTCGGAAGGAGATGAAGAGAAGAGCGAATATCGGTGAGGACCTCAGAACATTTGCCTATTGTTGTGACATGTAACAATCCATGGGCTTTTAAAACTGTGTATTTAGATGTGGGAGCTTTGTTCAACCCATGAAGGAACACTTAATCATTCAGTTTTCAAAATCGCTACAAGGCGGAGACGCATGGTTTTCTGTGAACAGCATGGATGTGTAGAGTCACGTTTGTCTCCATTTGTGGATGTTTCCATCTCTTACCACTGCCTCTGTCTGACACAACCAGAAGCTGCCATTCTGGAAAGCCATGGAATTGAGGTGCCAAGTCCAAGCTGCCACTCTAATGGTGAGGAAGGAGAGATGCAAGAGTTTGCAGATCAGGTGAATCATCGATTCTCAGAGCAAGTAAGTCAGCTCGGTGCCACTTAGCCAGTTGCTTGAGAAGAAAACCGCCAATTAAATCATTTTAGCATTTACAGTCACACACATTCATTGCTATAAAATAGCTGCAGGAATGTGACTTCGTAATAAATGTTATCATTTACGCCTCTGTTTGATAGGTGGGAGTTTTTCCCTTGAGAAAACTCTTATTAGCAGACATAACACTTTAACAGTCAGCTGCAAACTGTTTACCAGTGTTGTCACTGGCACCATGTCATGTTGTGTGTTGATCATAAGAGCCAGTTTGAGTCCAAACTGAGAAATAGCAGGGAGTTTCTGTGACAGCAGCAGGAACATGGACCATCTCTTGGCTGGCCACAGCAGGCAAGGAGCACATTAACACTGTGTGGCCAGCAGCATCGGTACCCTGAAACAGCAACGCTCTCTGTTGTTATGTTCCTTTAGGAAACTGTAGGAGGCTTGCAGTGGTTGTTTGCGCAACCCATAACCACATTAATGGGGAATATGCTAGGTTGAAATAAACCGGCATGTTTCTTTAACAGGCTGATTAAACTGCTAGCAACAATAAAAAACTACAGCTTTGTGCCAACATGGTGTATCTAATCATACAGAGTGTAAATCCAAATGTTTCATCCGTTCTTTTCCACAGGAAGAGCCATCTTCCCTCAGGATTGTTGACCAACAAGACCCCTCCTCATTGGCTACTACAGAGGTCGCAGCCCTGCCGAGCCCCACCCCTCAGGTCCTGGATCAGAAAGAGGAGGATTCAAAAAGGGAGACTGTGGATGAAGAGTGACCAAAGCTGGTGGAGTTTGGATCATCGTGTTTTGAATTTTAATCAGATGAAATAGGAAAAGAATAAGTGTCTCCTTCTCCACCCACGTAGGGCCTTTGGGGCCTATGGCACCCAAAACTCAAAGGGAGAAGGGTGCCGAAGCTCGCTGAGGTGCCTCTGATGGTAAGGAGGCCACTGTATTTATCAACAGTAATCCTGCTTATATTAATGGCAATATACAGTATATATATATATATATATCAATATATAGTGCATTCCAAGATGGTATTAAAAAGCCTAAATTCCTTAGAGGGAGAATTATGTAAAGGATACCTCGCCCATTTTAAGCTACGCCTTTTCTCTTTTCTTTGCTACACGCCTTCTTTTAGCCTTTCAGAGTGGTTGTTTGATGGACATGAACGTGCTGAGCCTGCAGGTCAGGTGTGTTTGGGTGTGGGGATAAAGTACGCTATCATGGATCTAGTTTATGGTGACACGAAAGCCCTCTGCTTGCTCGAATGTCTTTGACTCCATCTGGTTTGTAAGACTCTAACCTCAATCAGTCGATCAGTCGACGTGTGCTGACGCTATCAAATCCATAAAGCCCTGAGGGACAACTGCAATCTCAGGTAATCCCAAAAAAAAACAGGTGGATAAAGACAGTGAAGAGTTGTCTTTAACATATGCTTTGTTTTCTTCATCTTAACTGTGTTTAACCAAAACAGGATGTGTTATTTATACCTTTTTATATTAGCAAAAGAAGCCCAGGACAATATATCATAGTATCATCTGTCTTCTTTGTTATACTGAATGCTGCTGTTTGGTCATTTTTGTAGTCCTCATTTCAGAGTCTGTCTCAATCCTCAACTCAGCCAGTGAAGCAAGACGACACATGGAGTTTTTTTTTTCTGTTTTTTTGTTTGTTTTTTAACGTTTGAGAGAACGCTAAAACCAATGTGATCAAAAATCATAATGCGTCGTTCTACATGCTACAAGCACCTTCTCTCCTACTGGAATAAGCTAAAGCTTAAGCTCATGTAAATTTGTATGACTGCAAAGCTGCACTTCAAAGTGGATCTCACTATAATTGAAAGATGGGAGTTAACACACTGTACCTGCATTAGACATGTACATAACCCAGAGAATATACACACGTCTGTGGGTGCTTTCCTTCCAATTACATTAGCACTTATATAGAAACTGTTATTTGTCAAACTTGAAATATGAATAGTCGACTTAAACTCCGCATTACGTAGTCCCCTATAATTACTGGCCCAAGGCCTTGGGAGTTACTCCCTACGTGTTCATGAAATGGACAAAGACGCTTGTTCTCAAACGGCCCCCAACAGGGCGCTACCATGTTACCTCCTAATGCCAAAGCTATGCCAAGGTAGAGATGAGCTGCTACAGAGTAAACTGTGCTTACAGGAACAGGATATGACACAGTGAAGACACTAGATATACAGTACATAGATGTTTATTTGCTCAGTACAACACTAGCCAACTCTAGCTTACCTCAGAATAACTCTGTGTCATGAATGTGTTACAGGCTGACTGTCACGAAAGTGCCAGCAGCCGTTGTTGTGACTGTTTATGATACGGACAGTGTTATGTAGCATTTATGACGGTGGGGGTTTGCCCTGTATTGTTAACGTATACTCACCTCAGTTCTCTCGTCCGGCTTTGGACAGGAACCCCAAAGCTGCACGCTGTTTCTGATTATTATGCTCCTCTCTATCTGCTTTTATCTGATGACGAGAAAACAATAACAATAAAATTGTAAACAATGGCTGTGATCTTGACTTCTTTTGAGTGATTTTTAAGGTGCGATATGGGAACATTCAGCTGGGGTCAAGATGATGAAACCGAGAAAGCCGAGAGTCACATTTGAACCAGGTTAAGTAGAGGCGAATTATCCAATTGATCAACTATCAGCAATATGTTAATAAGCTAATGTTAAATGCCACCAAAACTTTCTGTTGTACATCTATTGACTAAATTACTGAGTGAAACAATTGAACAGCTGATAAAATATTAGGTTTGTGTAATATTAGACATCAATCACAGTATCAATTTGACCCAACTGGCACTAAATTCTACATTTACACAGTATCAATTCTACATTAAATTCTACAACACAAGATGGCAACATTGCCACTCATCTGAACAAAGAAATGTGTTTGCTAGGGCAAGAATAAAAGTGGTGACAGAATGTGCTGTCATTATGGAGGCCACGGCCTCAGCCTGTGTGAGTCACAGTCGAGTCAGATATGTGTACACACACAGCTGTGATACTCAGGCTGAGAGTTGAACACGTGCTGAGCTGAAGGCGGTGATGGGGAGCAGTGAACTACATGTTATTAAACTAGTAGGTTGACTACATTCTGCAGTTGCTGTCTGACAGTTCAACTACATTTTTTTTTTGCCTTTTTTTGTGTAGTTAACTACTGAAGCTACAGTTTAGGGCCATAAAAGAAAAGAATTGTTTCATTTTAACAACTTAGACTGCTCATGTGTCGTACACGAGATTCTGCTCTGATAAATCAAAAGATATTGTTTAGACCAGTGTTTGAACTATTCTTTCTAAAAAGGTGCAAGTTGAAGACTGATTTTTAAAAGGCCCATTTTTGTAAGACAGTACTGAATACGTAAAAAATATTTTTTCTCTTTACCGTTTTAGTTTACAACTAAATATTAAATATTCTTTGCCATTTTGTTTGAAAACCCCATATGGGATTGTTATGTTAAGGACAGGTTTAGGTCTTGGGTATTATAGGAAGCTAGATTTTCAGCTGTGGAAATATTTTGCTATAGTTAATAGTATAGTTAATGTTTTGAATCTCAATTTTTATTTGCTAGTATGTACCTTTTTTGTATTATATCTTTTAAACAGTTTGTATCAGATTTACATTGTCAACCTAAATCCTTTTTACTGAGTATTTTGAACTGCTCCTACATTTCTCCCTTTGCTTTCAAGGTAGGGAAGGGAACGTATTAAAGGAAGGAGTAAAGGCAACAACAAAATAACAGGCAAATACACAAAAATGTGAGCTGTTATTACAATGGAGCGCACATTTCAGGAAGTATTCAGCCCTGGATCTTTCCCCTGTTTTTTGGTGTTGCATTCTGTATTTACGATGGATACACTTTTACAGCAGCTTCAAGTGTTCTTGGATTCTGCAAGGATGCATAAAAAAAAGTTGTTGAAATATTTCAGACTCTGTTCCTGTGTAGATGTGGCTGTCTGCTTTGAGAGCCACAGTCCACTGCTTCAATCTGTCTGACCCTCCCAAACTTTAGGCTTCATTGCCTTCAGGCCATTTTAATCCTTTATCAGACGTTGGACTGGACTTTATGACGACTTCTCTGGTTTCTTTGTTCAGTTTAAAGAGTGAGAAGTACCATGTTGTGGATGTTCAGGCCTAAATTTAAAAAATCTGGACTTTTATATCAACTGCTTATCAGCTGTTTGTTTTCCTGACTGATACTAAAACGTCATCACATGTTAACTTGCGATCTAATGGTATGAGGTGCAAACAGCATCATTTATACACATATTATCAATAATATGTGTAGTAAGGAAGTATTTGTGTTGATAGATAAGTGTGTTTTGACAGACGTCTGTTTCGGTGAACGAAGCCCTCACTACGATCGTGTCATGCTTCCAGTCTTCACACTGAGATCTTCTTGAATCCTGATCTGTGATGGATCCTCAGACCTTAGATTTGTAGGAGCTGCTCAAAACTGGAACATGGACTGATTGGTTCTGATGGGTTTTTCTCTCTCGAGCGTCTTGATTGCAGCATGTGGAGGCGAGCAGATGCTGCCGCCACAGAGGAGGCACATAGTGACAGCTTCATCTGCACGGCTGAGTTTAGGATGCTCTTCATCTTCTTGGCTGGGGGGCCGTCGTCTGGGGTCTGGAGGCAGGTTGATTACAGTGTGTTCAGTGGAGTGCTGTGGTACTGGTTGACATCCACTCTCAGGTGCCCCAGGAGCAGACACAGGAGTCCTCCCTGTCATCAAAAACAAGTCATGAATATTTTATATAATATTATCAAATATCATCAACATACAGTTTGTAATGTTGTTAGTTCATTACAACTTTATGTCACTGGAGCTACGTTTGGAGTCTTAATAAAAGGCTTTACTTACATTGTCGACTCTTGCTCTCCATCTCCCCTCCTCAGTCGTCTTATCTGGTTGGGAGGGAGCATTTATTCTTCATCGTCATGGAAACTGGATGTACTGATGAATGAATGTTGAGCCTCGGTCTTCCAGGTTGCCACGGGGAGGCGCTGCAGGGGTCCTGGTGCTGGAGCGGCACTCAGTTCCCCTTTTCCCTCTTTGGACAGTGTTTGGGGTGAGCCAGGGGCAGCAGCCGGGGGAACGTAAAAATACAACACAGGGAATGATTCATTCAAAGTGATAATAATGTTGTCAAGATCCATTTCCATTATCCTCTACAGCCACCTGCACCTGTGGAAAAAACATCAAAGTACACGCACAGTGAGAGAGAGAAATCATCTTTGAATAATTAAATAAGACATGACGAGCATACCTCTGCCAGTTACAGCCATCTCGGAGTGAAAACACACAACACAGTGAGGGAGGTAAAGAATGAGCCAGTCACTAATAACAAGAGCTGCAAGATAATGTACAACCTGTGTCTCCTCAAGTCGTCTTTGCATCAGTGAATAAAAAAAACAAATCAGGGTACAAGAGTGAGTCATTTTTACCTTATTAATAACTGATAGCAATGAATGCACAGGTGTATCGTATGTAAGCTAGCATACCTGACTGCCTGTCTTTATATAGGACTACTGTAGCTCACTTTCTTTCCATTACATTACTTCACATTATATTATTTTACATTACTTTACATTATATTGTGTTAAATTGCATTACATTACATGTGTGGATGCATTAACGATGTAAGTTAAATTATCTAATTTATTTCTTATTAGTAGTTTGTAATTATTTAGATTTGTAACATTTCTTTAATATTCTTTTTGTATAGAAAAAATCATCCACATCCACCAAATACCTGTGCAAACCATAACCTACCCACCGACTGAGATGAACTGTTGAAACAGATTTGGATCCCGTGTTTAAACGCGCCCACCACAAAGGATGTTCAGTGAGCCAACAACATCTTTTTCAACATCGTATTGTATTGCCATGTTTTACATTGCATTATATTATAGTAAACTACATTAAATTACTTTACCTTACATTAGAATAAATTACATTATATTATATTATATTATTTTACATTA